CTGTAGCCAAATGAGTCAGGAGAAGCCTCAAGCCTGATGCCAGACCCATGAATTTCATATTGGCAACCCTTCACAACTGTGTGAGCCATTTCCTTGATGGATCATGAGTTCTGTGAGATGTTGCAGTGAATTAAGGAACCCGAATACAGGAGAGAGAGTACTGAGGGGAGAGGTAGTAATTGATGTGAAAGATGAAGGAGTAGTACAGCAGTTTGGAAAAGCTGGACATTTGGGACATCTGTAACCTCTACCTCATAAGTACCCGCTTTGTGTTGATCCTTATGAAAGAGGTTATTCATTCAGGTTTTATCCTTAAACTTGCTAATGTGATATTTCAGAAGATCACAGAGTTGCTGAAAATGGCTAAATTAGAAAGTAAAGTAAAATAGAATCTTTCCTTGAAATGTCATGGCTTAGAGATTCCATGTATGGCAATGTGCTGGGGAAAACAAATCAGCTTATGAGCATACCAGCATTTCTTTATATTTACAAAGGACCATCTGACAGCTAAAAGGTGTCTTAGAAGTAGGCTCAGAGGTGAAGATCTAAGTCTGACTTTTGGGAGGAGAACAGGAAAACATCTCTCCAAATTTAGGATCCCCCACAAGGGGGTGCATCTTCTGAATGCATCGATGTTTCCTGCTTCAATTCTGAGCCCCACATTCAGCCTTTCACTGTGATGGTAACCTTTCCTCACACTAAGCAATCAAGACTCAAGGACACCAGAGGCTCTAAAAATGAACTCTTCTCTAGGATCAATGATTGTGTTATTCTTATTATTTGGTGAGTAAAATGATACTTAAAGCTTTGAAACTTTTGTTTTATTATTTCAGTGTAACCTTTAGCAGCACTTTTCTCCAAAGGGTAGAGTCAGACCATACCCAAGTAACCAGAAACCATTATTGTTAATTTTTTCAGGAGGAAATGATGGAGACACAGTGACCCAGACAAAAGGCCAAGTGACCCTCTCTGAAGGGGATTTTCTGACTGTGAACTGCTCCTATACAGCCACACAGTACCCTGCCCTTTTCTGGTATGTCCAATATCCCGACAAAGGTCTGCAGCTTCTCCTGAAAGCCACAAAGGCCAATGACAAAGGAAGCAACAAAGGTTTTGAAGCCACATACGATAAACAAACATCTTCCTTCCATCTGGAGAAAGCCTCAGTCCAAGTGTCAGACTCGGCTGTGTACTATTGTGCCCTGAGTGACACAGTGACAGGAACTGCAGAGGGAGCTGAGTACAAACTCTGAGCAGCACAAGGGGGGGTAGGTGGCTGAGTCTTTGATGCAGTCAGTGAGCCCCTCTTGTTTAGGGACCAGGAGCTAGTATGCTATTGCTGTTACCTATAGTGACAGCTGGCACTCTAGTTGGTGTTAAAGCCATCCAAACCACTCACACAGCAGAAGAACAAGAAGTAAACATGCCCTATATAAGGTGCTTCAGTGGTGAGACTGAACACAGTTCCTCAACCAAGGCTGAAATCTGTGATTTTAAGAACATAAAAATTCAAGATTTGTTCATCCTTACATAACGTTTTAGTCCTCTAACCTTGTCTCAAGGAGCCCTGGTGACACAGTGAGTGACTAAGTGTTCAGTTGCCAACTGAAAGTTGGAGGTTCAAACCTATCATCTGTTCCATGGGAAAAAGATGTGGCAGTTTGCTTCCATAAAGATTACAGCCTTGGAAAGCTTATAGAGGTAGTTCTACTTTGTCCTATAGTGTTGCTTTGAGTTGGAATTGATTTGATAGCAATGGGTTTGGTTTGAGTTTTGAGCTGGTCTTGGCTTATTTAGAGAGAGAGTGCATTTAGACACACCTGGAGCAGATGAGGTGTATATGCCTAATGCCTCCCTGACAAGCTGGGGCAAGAAGAAATGATTTCCTTTGGAAACTTTAGCCCAAGAAATGATAAGTTCTTAAAATAAGAAGAGATATAAAAAAGGAAGAAAGAGTCCCATATGTGCCCATATATATGGAAAGAGAGATTGGGACATTTCTTATGGTGGAAATTAAATGATAGACATAGACTGGTATTCTCCAAAAGAAGTGACTTATACCCAAATCCTGTAGAAACCTCTTACCCTTGTAATAGTTCAACAAGGTGGCTTTCTAGCATTAAGAACTACTTGAGCTAGATGGACAGTGCTCAGAGTCTGGAGAAGGAAAACTGTATTAGTTGAAATTCTTCACTATAGATTGTTGAGTGTGTTTAGGGGAAATTCCAAATCACCAATCTATAAATAAAGAATTCCTGTAGCTTTCCCAACATCTTTGAAGCCATTTCTTGTATAGAAGAGGAATAATAGGTGGCTTGGGAGTTGGTTGCCAGGACTAAGAGAAGAGGGAGGATATCAGAGAAAATGCTTGAATGTAATTGCAGATATCATGGTGCCTTTGCAAATATTGGAGATTTTCTTTTGCCTTCTCTTTCATAGGTACTTAATCTATATCTGCTTATTGACCCATACATAACACCCTTTCCCTTGTGAGAAGAGTCCTTGGCCTTAAAAAGTAAGAGTAGAGAGAGGTGTGCATGGTTCACTGTCTCAGATGCTGTGGAGGAATCCAACTGTGCAGATCACTGAAAATGTCATTACCACTGAAGGGAACTTGCCCATAAACCTTTCGTTTTTCATGTTTGCTTTTTATTTCTTAGTTTTATTACTTTTTCACTTATTTTCAGAAGTCTCCTCTCTAGGTCTTATGAACTAACTGAGACTATAACTATTTATCAGGTGCTCTGGTGGCATAGTGGTTAAGGCATTTGGCTTCTAACAAATAGGTCAGCAGTTGAAACCCTCCAGAAGGACAATGAAGCAATCTGCCTTTCAAGATTTATAGCCTTGTAAACCCAATAGGGGTCACTATGAGTCAGAATCG